GCAAGCAATGCCAATTTTGACAACCTTATTTGGAACTGTTTTCCTGTGTGGCAAGGGCTGAGCTTCATAGAACAGAAAATTGATCAAAAGGTGGGAAGGAACATTTATTAAAAAGAACTAAATACAGCTAGGTGAAAAAAAATTACCAGAAAGGAGCATAATTCAAAAAATGAAGGGTACACTGCAGAAAGAGCAGGCAGAATGTTCATTCTATTTAATTTTGTCTTAATCAGAAGAATAAATATGTGAAAGTACAAAAGTTATAGGGAGAAAGAGAAGAAGAATGAGAGTGATGGAGAGAGTGCAAAAAGAATTAAAGCCTACAAGGCAACTCAGCTCAATAAAAATAAATTCCCCCTCTCTCAGCAGTTAAAGCAAAATGTTTCCTGACTCCTGACAATACCCCATTCTTTTACTTTCTGGCTGGCTGGAACCCGAACAACCATCAATCAAGTTTGGGTGGCCGTGAAGTAGGCCAGATGGAGTATGTCGGAAGTGTTTTCTGCTCTTCAATGCAAGTTGGCCATTACAGCAGCTACCCGACAGAAGTACCTGAGTCTTTCACATCTGTCAAGATAGTTTAGGGAGACCTTGAACATCCCCGGCCTTGCAGACACTGATTAGAACTGTGTGTGCTAGAGGAGAGGTGGCTGCTTCCATGGGGATTTTCTGATAAAAAATAGCCCTTCATCCTTTCCAGCCTTTGTGACAGGCTTTCTCATGACCTCATTTGTGCACTAAATACACAGACCACGGTGTCTGGGATATCCCTGTAGCTGATAACCTTTCTGTCCAAATGTTCAAAGAAAAACAACAGTTTTTATCCACTGTTTACTTTAGCACAGCAGCCCAGGACCAAGCTATTCTCTTCCAATCTGAGAACACCTCAGCAAAGCCATGGAGAAGAGCTTGTCAGAAATCAAGACAAAATTAAAATTCCTGATTCATCATCTGCTCCCCCTTAAGTCCAACATACAGCAGATTCTCATGCAAGCAGTGAACTCCAAAATGACCATGTTGCAGATTACAATCTATACTTAGAATCAGGTGCTTGGATTTAAATAATACTGAGACACAGCAATGCTAATAAGGGCAATTTTTTTTTCTAGTTTCCAAAATAATGAGAGCACTTCAAAAAGATTTTAAGGCTTTTCCACGAATGCTGACTAATGAGAAAACAAATCCATAAGAACACTTACATCATTAGTTTATGAGGCAGGCACTGATTCCTGAGGTTAATGAATATCTACCTCCTTGTTTAGCAGAAGTTTTGCTACAGCTCATAGAAGCTCCTGGAAAGCCAAAATATACTTTAACAGCAAATCTGCAAAACGGTAACCCTTGGGATTTCACTGAAGGTATAGTTTTCCTTTCTGTTAAGCACTGATTAAACTCCTTTGAAACAGCAGTCATCTTTGAAACAGCAGTCATCTTCGAAACAGTTAGCCGAGAGCAGAGACAGACACAGGATTCATCCTACCAGCAAAGTTGCTGCACGTTCATGAGCTGAAAAGTGGATAAGCAACACGAGAGCAGCAGTTACAAGTAGCATCCATTTATTTGTGTTTTTCTCAAAGAACAGAGAAGGTGAGGAGGAACTTTATACACCAAGCCAGAGTATGGATTGGGCAAGCCTAGGAGAAATAATCTGTCCTACCCAGACACCTTCTTGGCTTCTTAACTGTTCAAATTAATTAACTTTAAAAAAAAAAATAAGAGTTAGGGAAAATTCTGATGGTCTCAGATAAAGATACCTACTCCACATGCAAGCAGTGATCAAAACAAAAACATGGGTTATTTAGTAAACGTAATAAACAATAAAAGAAGTATTACAATCGTATTTTCTGTTTCAACGCAAATCTGTAGAGAAGTTGGAATACTGTGTACAGTCCAGCCTCTTCATCTCAAAAATGATTTTCAGTCATAGAAGGAATTTAGGTAAGTTCTGTAGAGTATGAATGGATTAACTGTTATACAATGAAACACTGAAGTTAGAGGTTCTATCTTCAGAAGACGGCAAGCATTAAAAGTAACAGGAGATAGATAAAACTGCAACTGATTGGAGAAGCCAAATAGGGGCTTTCATTCACCTCATTTAAAATGTAAAATCAGAAGGAAAACTGATGTAATTGAGAGATTACAAACATGACCCAATAGAAGGAAAATTCCAGCGCACAGGAAAGGAACTTAGGGAAAAAACAAAAACACAAATTCTCCTGAATATACTTGGTATTTTCAATGTAATATTCTCACTCAGTTCACATCTTTTTTTTGGTGCTCCCAACCTATTGCTGTTGGAGATGTATTCAGTAACACAGGTCTTGAAGCATATACCAGTCAGAAAGGTAACGTTCAGCAGTAAAACAGATTCCTGAAACCAATAAACCCCCCACTTACTGTTCTGCCAGAGCTCCTAAATGCAAGAAGGCCACTGCTCTGCTACTCCAGGCAATCACAGTACAAAGGGGTCTGTCGCACTTGATCAGAATTTATACGTCTATCTATGTTTCAGTACAGACCTTATGCAGCACTGTGCCTCAAAACAAAAATGCTGTTTCCAAGTAATGTATAATATGCTTTTTCTCTTACAGTCTTGAACCACTGGTGCAAAGCTATGGGTGGAAAGGAAGCCTAATACATATCTGCAGTCCATTCCAAAGGCTCAAGACAATAATCTAGATTTTCCTATCACCAAAAAATTAAATTGGGTCCTATTCTAACTATACATTGAATTCAGTTGATTTTTCCTCTATCTACATATGGGTGGAGACTTACCTCCAACCTGCAATTTCCCTCACTTCAGGAAGGAAACAGACACTCTCAATTCCAGCCAACATGTCAGCACTCAGATTTTTAACTCAGAAATAAAGTTCAGTAGGGCACAACATTTCACACAGTACTAATCTGCTTGACCTAATTTCTTACTCTAGTTCCTCCCTACTGCTGCCAACATAATGTGCAGTGTAGCTCCTGGGTACCCACAGATCTGCACTACCAAATTCTTATCCTTAGCTCAGGGCCCAGGCAGGCTGTGAGTGTGTGACTTCCTTGCATGCTGTTCCTACTAATGCCAACAGCAGATGAACGAGCAGGTGGCACACAGGAAGATGCTGTGAGATTTCTAACGCAAATAAAGAGAGCAGAATTTCTGCCACAGATATTCTGATCACATACCTACATTTAAATGTATTTCTCCTTTTGCATTCCTTCAAATGAAATGAAGCCAGGCTTCCTAATCAAGTCAAACCACGTAACTAGGTTTGCCACAGTCAGTCCCAGCCCGAGTTTTAGTCTCAGCTGTAACTCACTCATATCTAGAATAAGTAAAAGTTAACTCCAATCCAGCAATTTCACAAGCACTGCCTTTAAAACTATAACTTTAAAAGACCCAAGAGCATTGCTCTCACAAAATAATGCTGTATCAATGCTCTGCTTTGTCTCCCTCTCCCCTCTTCTGACAGCTATTGATAGAATATACAGACCCAGGGAGAGCAAAACAAGGCAAAAGGCTACTAGCAGCTCCAGCTGCAGAGGTCTTCTGGTAGCATAAAAGGAAGCTTCATTCAATAAACTCCAAAATGCCACCTGGGCAGGGAAATCTACTCAAAACAAACAAACAAAAAAAAAAAAAAACAAAACAAAAAAACCCACACCAAAAAACTCTCCCAAGGAAAAGAAAAAAGTCCTTCTCCCCAGACTATTAAACAATGAAATCAAAGGCCTTCCTGCCTTCCCACTCAGTCACTTCCACCCCCAAATGAAGATGTTTTTTGCTGCCAACTCAACCAAGTCAGAGGGTCTCTGAAAATCTAGTTTCTAGCTGTGAAATATAGTTTCTGCTTCGCAGCTTGTCATTATCTACACAGGGTCTAGGCTAAGTGCTGATGTAGTAACTCCATAAATGTCGTGTGGGGAAGACCAGTTACACCTGTACTGACTGCAAAGCAGACAGATGCATTAGCACACCCAGAAAGCATCTGCAATCTCATCAGACATGTCTCTGGTAGCACAAACAGAGCAGGCCACCTGCAGGTACTCCTCACTCAGATCAATGGTACACCACCATCAACAATTTGAAAATGGCTCATCCCTGTTGCACCTGTCACTCCTAATCACATTTATTTTTATAATTATCCTAGTATTCAGACGCTCAAATGTTTTAAATCTAGATGGTTTTAAGCAAACAAATGCCAGGGTAACATAGCTTGTGTAATCCACTTAAAACACATTACTTCTGTATCTCAAACAAGATCTCACAGTTTTAGCTCCCACTATAAATCATCCTACACACATAACACCTGCTACTCCAACAAGAGAGTATATTAAAAGGCTTTAATGATTAGAAAGAAAATAAGTTTGTCTGAGGAACACCTGGAAACACAAATGCAGAGCATATGCCTTTCTGTGTACTAAGAATTACACTGTCACTTGTGCTTAAACAATAATACTCTCCTTCCTGCTGTCTTTGAATAAAAAATATACAACCTCAAGGGTGCAGAACATCCATGTATTTCAGTATGCAGTAAGCAGAACACCCCTTCTATGCTACCTGTCCAGAAGGAAATAATTTCTTTCAATCTTCAGCTCATTTCCTTTGTTTTTTCAACTAGCCTTTATTTGATAGCAAACAAAACTTTTATAAAGGGTGCCTTCATCAAGAGACATTTTTGCATACTACTATTGGTCTGTTCCCATTAACAGCGGAGTTATGAAATGCATCTGTACTCCGGAATTCTAGTAGCATCAGGAAACCGGTCACAGTAGAAGTGGTCTCAGGTTAAAATCAGAGCTCTTTATTTTCAGCTTACCTCTTGTGTGAGACTGCCCTGACTATACAACTCAGGAATATTGTCTGCCTGACCGCTGAGACATAGTGCAGAACTAAGACAAGGCCATGAAAATACAATCTTCTGTACTGAGTTCCCACTGAAGCATGCGGGACATTACAAATCCAGTGATTTGAATGAACTAGTGTGCAGCCTTCAGCAAATGGAATTTACCTTGAGGTTTGGGTTTGGTAAGCTTCCCACAGGGCTTTGAGATTGTGACAGTCTTCTGGCAGTCAGCATTATGAAGGGCTCTCTTTAAGTTCCCAGTTCTAGTCTTCAAGGCAGTATTCAGGTCACATTCTCCCCAGGCCTGGAACTGGTATTTGCACTCCGCTGCAATAAGTAAATAAATGGCAATTTTTAAACCAAAATGACTGTGAAAACAAAAATGTTATGAGTCTAACAGAGTATCAGAGTTAGTTCTTGTAGACAAAAGGATCATGCTAAGGAGAAAATACAGGCTTCCTGCTTCATATTTGAGTAAAAATGAAAGCAAATCCCTTGAGAGCAATGCTTACCTCCAAATTGCTTCTTCCAGTTGCAGGGGATCTTACACTTCTGAGTCTTGGTGGTTTGTTTGCACTCAGCTCCAGTGCGAGTGCCTTCACGTGTTCCCAGGCCACAGTCACCATTGGTGGGCACACAGACACTCCACTGCCATTCCCCACAGTCAGACTTCTTCGACTTTTTATCTGGATGAAGACAAGGAACCAAATCCAAGCAAGAGAAATGGTTAGTACCCACCAGCCTATGGAAAAGCTCCCTAAATTTCATTAAACAGGCACATCACCTGAAAAGATGAATGAGGAAGACATTTGTAAAACAAGTGCTTCAAAGGCAAAAGTTCTGGCATCCTTTTCACAGTTCTGTAGAGACAGGTCAGCCTCTCTAACTCCAAAGCAGGGTGGATCATTCAAAGTCAGTCCCACTCCCATGCCTACTAGTCCACTTAGATACTCTCAAGTGGATTCTCATCTTCACAGTGGGGAATCACCTAGAAACCCTCAGGGACTGCTAACCAAAACATACAGCACTCATGCAGAAAGGACACTCCTCTGCCTCCAGTAGCTGATGGCATCCAAATATTCTCAGTTCCAACTGAAGCACTACACACTATATAGGTTAGAAACCATAATCGTAGAGTGGTTTGGGTTGGAAGGAACCTTAAAGCTCATCCAGTTCCAACCCCTCTGCCACAGGCAGGGACACCTTCCACTAGAACAGATTGCTTCAAGCCCTGCCCAACCTGGCCTTGAACACTGCCAGGGATGGGGCACCCACAGCATGCCTGGACAACCAGTGCCAATGCTTCACCACCCTCACCTTCAAATGTATGTGTTGATGTTGTGTATCAGAGGATTCAAGCACCTCCAGGGAACAGCTGCAGGACACAAACTTTTCACTTGGTATACCATGCCACATTCTATGACCAAAATTCCAAAGGTGAAGAAAAATCTACACTGAGAAGTGTAATCAAAATGCTGCTAATGCATGTGCTCAGGGGCAAAAGTTAAGGGACATAGTTTCATTTAAAACCTTAAACCCAAGCCTGATAAAAAAAAGACAGCAATGTAATCAAACCTAAGTGTTCATCCCGAAACATCACAAGTAACTTTAAATAACCTTATATAAAATTATTTTCCTTCTAACTCCTGTATATTTACGTTCACATATTCTCATATTTCCATACAGCCACAATGGCTATAAACAGCTTTGTAACCAGAACGCAAATTCAGATAGACTCACAGGTCATTTTAATTGGTGTGTAAGTGGCCTGTAAATCATAAGACCTTAAGAAAACCACCAAAGATGCGTTCCTTAAAAAATGTCACAACTGGGCTGTATAGATACGAATTTCCCACTGCAGGCCTGTCTCCCCTATAATGAGGTGTGAGCTCATCACTGGCAGAAAGCAATTACCGCTGGATGTCTGGCTGTCTTTATGCAGCGGCGAGTTAGTTCAGTTCTTTGTGAGGGGATTTCCACATCACACAGCATTGGCCTAGCATTGTCAGATACAACACTGAACAAGCAACTTGGTGACTACTCTTACATCACTCCTATTTGGTTCTCCCTAAGTCAAGAATGAACCTATTCCCAGACCAAATATTAAACTGCCTTGCAACATCCACTCTGTGGTAAAATAAGGACTATGAGGCTGTCAAGCTGCTAGCTTTCATGGAAACTACCTTTCATTTTCCTGTTTAACACAGAATAACATGTCACAGCCACAAAGCCCCACCCTGTATGTCAAAAGGTTAACAAACAACCTGAATTTCATAACAAAACCAGGAGCATTTGACATTCTCCCACACGTGCAATCTATCCTGGGGATTAACTCTGAATTATACTGGACCTTACCTGGTTTCTCTTTTTTGCCAGCCTCTGTGGTACTCACAGCTGCCAGAATAAAAACAAGTGCCAGGAGGGCAGCTGTGAACATTCGACGTTGCTGTTGTTGCTGTTGCATTCTGGGGATTAACAAGGAAAAAAAGATAAAAAGGTTGGTCAGAATGTAAAAAGTGGGACCCCATCTAATGTGTTGCTACAGCATTTTGGGGAAGCTCTGCTTCAGGCCAGTAAGAAACAAGCAGGTAGACCATAATTAGCCATTGGCAGAACGAATAACTTTATTCCAGAGAGAATACAGGTATTCTTACCAATTCTTTTGCAGCCCATGTACCAAATCCCTGGCCTACATCATTGCTGTTATGGATAAGTATTGCCACAGGAAGTTCAGTAATTATTGCTCATCTCGAGAAACCTGTCAGTGAATCAAGGGTCCTGATGGTCCTGGAACTCCACTCTTCTTTCTTGACCTCTGACTGATATATTGTGTAAAACTAAATATATCATATACTTTGTGTTTCAGCATACCCATTCATACAAAGTACGGAATGCTACACTTGCAAGAGAACAAGTTTTTACTAGGTTTACTTGCCATCTGAAAAGGCCTTATTTCATGAAAACTTATATAGGTAATATGTGATGTATTACCTTAATTGTCATGGGCATCTTGCTATTAACCTTCCCCTCCAATTAGTGTCTCTTCCTGATAAATTAAGCTAATTGCTTGAAATGCAAAACGGGCACAGCAACAGGACTTGCACACACAGCTAGAAGCTATCCATAAGATGCTAATGAACTCAAAATCTGGATTTGGGATTCAAATATTCAAAATATAAATATAAATTTAAAAAGTTTTAAAAAATAGAAACATTTGCTTGGTAGTGAAATATCATTTACTAGCCAATCACCAAAAGTCATTCAGAGCTAGCTGATTTAAATGGCTTACACAAAATCACAGAATACTTAGGGTTGGAAAGGACCTTAAGATCATCTAGTTCCAGCCCTCTGCCATGGGCAGGGACACCTCACGCTAAACCATGCTACCTAAGGCTCTGTCCACCCTGGCCTTGAACACCACCAGAGATGGAGCATTCACAGCTTCCTTGGGCAACCCGTTCCAGTGCCTCACCACCCTTACAGGAAAGAATTTCCTCCTTATATCCAATCTAAACTTCCCCTGTTAAAGTTTTAACCCATTACCCCTTGTCCTATCCCTACAGTCCCTAGTGAAGAGTCCCTCTTTCACTTTGCTATAACTTGCACTGTTTCATTCTGGCATTGTTTATCAGAAAGCAGGGCCATAACAAACACATGTCAAAAATAAGCAACCTTCCCATTTCTCAGAGCCACTTCTCTAGCAGGCAGCCAGGAACCAAGACAGTGGACTCCAGATTTCTCAGACTGAAGGTTTCTCCAGCCTCTTTTTCTTTTAAATGAGGGCCCATGACATTTATGCTGCACCAGCTTTCCAGGGAAGTGTCAACAGCACTAACCACTAAGATAGCTTTAATAACTTAACTAGACCAATGCTACGGAGAGTTTAAGATGCAACCTGATCCATTTTGCTTAGCACAGCAACCTTAGGAGAGAAATAATTCTCAACATGAACAAAGAACAAAATGTATTTGAAATTTAATTTGGCACTCCTCAGTATTCCCTGCTGGCAATCTCTTGCTCAAAAGCAACATAACTGTAATTGACACGGAAAACCCAGAGACTTTTAAGTATCCAGCTTTAATACAGTGGTAGAAGCCAGAGGAAAAAACCTAATGGCTTTGTTGAAAAAGTTCATGTGAAGACTGCAAGAGAGCTGGCATTCAAATGTCTGAAAGAGCTGTCATTAGCACCCATTTGCTTTATTTCAAAAGAAACTACAATTTCCCATCATGAAGTGTTTCCCATGAACTCAAGACCCTGGAGCTAGAGGGCACACAAGTTGTGTGTGAGTTTGTGTTTGACTTTTTCCTTTCTCCTGCTACATTTTTCCACTTAGAGCTTCTCATGTTTTACAGAAAATTAATTACATAAATAAGTAATAATAATAAAAAAATAATCTGCCTTTTTATTCAGCTTACTTCAAACTGGTCTCTCATAATTAAACACAGTTGGAATACTTAGAAGACACTCAACTTTTTCTTTCAGCCCCTCCCCCTTGAGAAACCTCACCACTTTTAACACTGCACCTCACATCACATTTTCACTGCAATTTACCAATTTATCTTGTCACTTCCTCTCTTCCAAATGATTCACAATAATCCCTCGTTGGAGAAGGGAGTTAAGCACTTGTATGGAAACACACAGGGAAGGAAATATACTTCCATAAACTCCAGAAACCATCCCAGCATGCTACCTGGGGGTGTCAGAAGCTGAAACAAGGCAGCACCGGAGGGTTTGCTGCACAGCATGTTGCTGCACACAAGAGATGCCCGCAGTGGACTTGGGACTCCCTCTTTCATCCTTGCTGCCCGCCCCAAGGACCTGGGATGTAGTCACAGGTACCCCACAGTCTGCTAAGTAGTCACTGGGAGCCATGCATAACTGTTTCTAGGGAAGCTGCTTTATATTAAGTTGACAAAGACTCTAATTCAAACCTGATTGACACTATTTTCAGCAAATCAGGCAGGAAAAATAGTTGGGGTTTGGAGTCTGAAATGATCCAGAAGCCCTATAAACAAAACCCCATGGAGCCTGTTTCCTTAAGACTCCAAGCCTCCCTACAGCCAAAACACTTGCCGAGTTGTCTAAAGCAAACACTAAACCTGCACAGTGAAAGAGAGAGATCCCCCTGGCAAAGAGAGCAAGGCTGCTTCCTGAAGTGCTTTTGATATTAATTACCAATAAGTGAAAAGCCATGTTGTGCAGATGCCTTGCTTCACACCACACCTACACCTCGAGTCTCATGTAACCCGTACGAGTACAGAAAATTGCCTGATTGGTTTGTACATGATAGATCAGCAAGGGCAGATGCTCCCACAAAAATACAAATGGCTTACATACAGGACCCATTAGATTTCAGGTATTTTTTCAGAAGGCCAGAAAATCCCACCGATCGGTAATCATTCGAATTCAATCTTCAATTTTCCCTGAAAATACTTCAGGTGGCCATTAGAAACACTGGATGGAGAGAAAAACATGTCAGGCTGTTTTTGAAAACAATATATTATCCTGAAAATAACTTAGTGGGATTTTGGTTTATTTTTTCAAGTATTTCACAATAGGCAAAATGGACTCCTCGATACATTGATTTTTATAATGAGCCTTCTATCTACACCAAACAGTAATAAGCTGTCATGGTTAAATCATGTGTCCTGAAGGGAAACTATTTCTACAATCCTGTATGTGCCTTCTCCCAACAAAATGAGGTACAGGAATTCCTTCTGCCTTACAGTTCATTTCACAATCAATCACTGTTTGGGAGTAGAAAATGAAAGAGAAACTGAAACAAGGGAAGGCAGTCAGAAAATTAATTAGTTCATCAACCATCCATGCATAGATTCAGTTGCAGTTCTGACTCTCAGAAAGAGTCAGGCAGAAGATGCTATGGCTGCAGTTTAAAGGACCATCTAAGCAGAGGTGGACCCTCCCACTCCAAACCCCTAGTATCCGCCTGACCTGATAGAATCACTCCCATCTCTTCTGCACCTGATTCACTAAATCATTCATTTGCTATGATGAGTACAGTACACATGATAAAGTTTACCAACTACTTCAGGAAATATCTATCCCATGGTCTGCACACACCAATCCCAGATCTACTAAAGGCCCAAAACAGGATAGCACGTAGGATAGCACAGTGGCATGTACACTTCCATTTGGGCCCAGAAATGGTACAAACGCTTTCATGCAGTGCCAGGCTTTGTCTAACAGTCCAAGAAAAAGTTTACTCCTTTCAACCCAAGACCCTGCAAATGCAGCTTGCTTATTTCATACTCAAGTTGGCAGCCCAAGGCAGCTCAGGTGTTTTCATCTTTAGAGCTCTGCATCTCAGTGCAAGCCAAACTTGCTGGAACAACTCTGTTGGCACTCATGCAAATTAACTCATGCACAGGTTCTCAGTTTCTCATATCTGAACATGTCTTTCCTGAACATAAGCATCCAGAACAAACAAGACAATTTCAAATAAAGCTTGATTGGTGAGCAAATGTTTATTTTTCCTAGCCTTACTGAAGCTAGTGTATGTAGCACATCCTGGGATCACATATGCCTTTTGCAGGTGGCTTTTTTGCTGTTAATAACTATTACACATAAGACCTTCCCTTCATCTGCTTCCCTTCAAAGCAACTGGCAAAGTCCCAGATTATAAAAGCAAGTATTTTATTATTAGTGCATATGAGTGCAAACTCCCACTCTGAACTATCAGGTTTTCTCACCTGTCCATATCCTCCAGTTCTTCCAGTATAATATGCCAAACATCAACTGTGTTGATAATGCTGTTACCCTGCATGTACTGCAATACTGTATGCATTGCCATTGCTAATGACAGGCTGTGTAGTGAGTTTGTAAGGCCTCATGACTAAGGCTTGTCAAGGATTGCTCTGTCTGAGCTTTCCTTGGCCTGTCAGCAGCCTCAAAATTTCTAATTGGCCAGCCAGCTGTGACTAATTTGATTTACTCTTTTTTTGGCATTATACGGAGCCACCCAGGTTTTATGACTGTTCTATTAATGTACTATAGAGAAATACAGGACTGGTATCTTATCAAAGACATTGGGAAGTTGTGACATAGGATGCAGTATAGACAAGTAAAGGTAGGGGAGATATGAGATGGGACACAGGCTTGACAGTGAATACCCTCCCATCTATAAACAACTTGCCCATGGCTAGATAAAGAAATTAAGACCTGGAGCTAAGGAGACAGGAGTAAAAAAGAGAACACAGAAGTAGTTTCCACCATATTTAAAGGGTGCCATATAAATTTGGATATAACATGGAGCTGCAGACTAATGAAGAAAGATAAACGCATAAAAGCAGGTCAGCAAACACAAAACACAACCACAAGCTGATCCTAAAATGAGGAAGTAGAAACCATCAACAAGAACGTCCTCCTGGCTGAGGATCCCAGATGATGACAAGTCACCATAACCACCCCCACAACCACCACCATACTGAAACCAACAACCTTA